CTAGGGACGCCACAGACGGCGGACTCTCGGAAAGGGGCGGCGGGAAGCCACGTGTGACTGCAGGGGGAGCTGTCCCTGCAGGATCCCCCCCCCCCCCCAAGACTGGATGCTGGAAGAAACACCCCGGAACTTGGGGAAAGTTGGAAGGATGAGGAAACGTTCTCTTGGGGTTTTCCTGCAGGAAGCAGAAATCGTGGAAGAAGGAACTTTGCATTCAGCAAACATGAATCCGTACTGTCACCTGTCGTCCATCCATCCATCCACCCCCCACCTACCTACCTACCTACAATCTATCATCTATTTACGGTACCTACCTACCTTATTCTCCATCCATCTACCCATCCACCCTATTCTCCATCCACCCACTCACCCACCCATCTTATTCTCCACCCACCCACCCACCCACCCACCCATCCATCCATCCATTCACCCATCTTATTCTCCATCCACCCATCCACTCACCCATCTTATTCTCCATCCATCCATCCACCCACCCACCCATTATCCATCCATCCATCCATCCATCCATCCATCCATCCATCCATCCATCCAAGCATTATTTGATATCCAATAAGGCATGAAAGCTCTTTCTTACTTCCTTTCTCACAAACCCTACTTCCACTGAAATAGGCCTTGAAAAAGACAAGCCAAGCACGAAAATCCCTGTATCTTTTATTGTTAACATAATTAAAGCTGAACTGAGAGAAAGAGACAGGAAAACATCACATCAGCTCAGATTTTTACAATGTAAGAGGATCAGGAAAAAAATGCTACAGTTTGTGGCTCTGATTTTTGGAAGATTCGTGTGGGGGGGGGGAGGAGAGGGATGCTGGAGATACACAGGTGATCCTGTTGAAGAGGAGATCCTTGCAACGTGGCCTGAATTGCTTTGAATGTCCAGTGCATGTGTCCATTCCAGGACATGCTGCATTGTCTAATGAGGGAGAGCAGGGCCGTTGCAAAATACGCCCATAGCTGGACACGGAACAGGCACCTGAAGACACAATGACCAAATCCATGTTTCTTCAATGTAGGTTTCCTATCCCATAATAATCTCCGGACAAATTGGTTAAGCCCATGTTTCTCACCCTTGGCCACTTTACGATCTGGGGGGCCTTCAACGCCCAAAACTCCCTAGCCAATGCAGGGCGTTGAAGTCCTCCAGATCTTACAAAGTTATCAAGGTTGAAAAACATTGGGCTAAAGGATTGGGTGTTGTCATTTTACGGAACACAGATTAAAACCCAGAGACAAGCAGAATAACAGAGTAACAGAATGGCAGAGTTGGAAGGGACCTTAGAGGTCTTCTAGTCCAACCCCCTGCTCAGGCAGGAGATCCTATATTATTCTGGACAAAAAAAACTGTCCAATCTCTCCTTAAAAAGCTCCAGTGGATTTAATTTATTTTGTTTATTTGTAAATTTTCAAAATTGCCTTGAATTTAAAAAGTCCTTAGGCACTGTACCAAGAGCTTTGTTCTGAAGGACCACAAAAACCTCATACGGCAGGGACGATGCTGGCTGCCCCACACCGTTATAACAGAATAACAGAGTTGGAAGGGACCTTGGAGGTCTTCTAGTCCAACCCTCTGCTCAAGCAGGAGACCCTATACCATTTTGGACAAATGGCTGTCCAGTCTCTTCCTAAAAGCCTCCAGTGATGGGAGCACCCACAGCAAGGCTACATTTTTAAACCAGGAAATATGAGCTTTAAAGAAACTAAAGAAATGATTTTTTTCCCTAAATTAAGAGACTTTGGCACGCATACAGTTCAAACATATCAGGAAAATTCCTTTTTTGTGCCATCATTCTTCATTTTTTCCCCCCAGGATCTCCCCCCCTTTTTTAAAGAGAAAAACTTCCCAGGAGCACATAACTTTAAGTAAAGTTTACAATCCGCTTCCACTGCTTATTGGCTTTTGCTACTGCAGGTGGCACATGCTGTTGGTGAGCCATCCACACAACCTTTGTTTCACTGTTGCAAGCCAATGCACAAAGGTTTTCAAACAAACCCTGGCTTGGAAAAACTCCAGCCTGGGCTCTATCAAGGTCTTCAGGAATCTTGACACCATCCTCAAGCTGATGCTTTCCAGATGTGTTGGCCTACCCTACCAGCTTCCATCATTCCTATCATTCCCAGCCGGAGTTCCGGTTGATGCCGGGGAAACCCAAGAAGCTCAACACATTCAGAGAACACCAAGTTGTTTCTTTTGGAGAGCATAACCTTAGAATCAAATTTTGTCTACAGCAACATTCTTCAACCTCAATAACTTCAAGAGATATGGACTTCAACTCCCAGAAGTCCCCAGCTAGGGAATTCTGGGAGTTGAAGTCCGTATCTTTTGAACTGGCTGAGGTTGTAGAAGTTTGGCCCACCAAATTTGTTCTGACTTTGGTTCTGGAACAAATGACACCCCACAAAAATACCATCAGTCACACTTTGGCCACTATCCGTCAGGCTATTTTTGTGCACGGATCCTGAATTCCATAGGATGCAGCACAGCTTGTAGGTCTTATCCCACTATTTAATTTTACTTAAGGAAAAAAAAGAGGGGGTGGAATAGGAGGAGGCCATTGTACCCTGAAAGGATCAAAAACGCGTTGAACACATTTGTACTATAAAAAGATTCGGACAGAGAGACTCCGTCTTCATTTCTTTTGTTTCTTCTAGTTACATACCCATATAAATTTAAACAAAATAATTTTATATATATTTGTGTACATATATATTATATATATAATACATATAAATTAGAAACAAATAAATAGAGATTAAAGGTACACTGCCATCAGCGGTGAGAGTACACTGATGTTCAGGCGCTATTGTTATTCCGTATACAAGGTGTGTGTCTGTGTGTGTATGGGCCTAGCTACGATATGTGAGTGTGTAATGGGTCCTCCAGGATAGGGGATGTGGGGACTCGGCCAGTGTTATCCCACGTGGACCTTGCCGTGCTTTTAGCACTCTGGAAGCCAGGAGGCAAGACCCCTTAGGAAACCCCCCCCCATTATTGCTTGTTTTTGTCCCCCAGGAGAGAAATGGGCCACTTCTCAGTGAGTGCTGATGAGATGCCACCTTCGGTGGGGAGGGGCTGTTTCCGCACAACAGCAGGATGTGCTCGGGGTCCTTTAGTTGCCTGTCCTGTTGGACTCAAGGTGGGGGGGGGCTTCTCCAAGCCCCAGCTGTTCAGGGCCCCAGAAGCAGTCTGGCCCTGGGGGATGATCAGCTGGACAACCGGGAAGAGGAACCAGTACGGCAGGAATCCTCACCTATAAGAGGGGAGGACTTCAACTCCCAGAATTCCTCTGGCTAGCCATGCTGAGGTTGAGAATCACTGGATCTGGCACCCTGGACTGGGGCAGAGCAGGGCCAGCACAGAGAGCAATGTGCTAAGGGTCCTAATGCACCACCACTACCATCACCAGCAGCAGCCAGTGCCCCCCAGGTTGACGGGGACTGCAGTCCCCAGAATCCCCCTGCCAGCAGAGATGCCAGCAAGGCCTGTCCACGGGAGCAGCGGGTGGAGCTACGTCTCCTGTGGAGAAAGAGAAACGGGAGCATATCTCAATGTAACCGGCTGCGCCTGGGATGTTGGCTATGGAGGTAGCTAGGCTGGTGACCGCGGGATGCCTGAGCTGACCAGAACCAAGAGGGGATTTTGCTGGCCCGCTCTTCGATCTTCTACCCTTGCCAGTTTCCTCTCCTTCATCTGAGGAAGAGAATCTGAAACGGCAAGAGGGTTCTCTGTTTGTGTGTGCGTGCATGCACAGATGTGCTTTCTGCACACATGGAGCCAGCTGCGTTGCAAAGGTGATTTTTGCCCAGGGCATCCCAGAGCAGGCTGAGCATTCATCCAGCCTGCAATGCTCTAAACCCAAATATCCCACGTTAGTGATGGGGACCTGGCTAGCAGGACAGCACAAACTAACCAGCTTCGCCGGAAAGGCGAAAACGGGCCATGATTCAAGCGATGGGGAATGCTGAGTGTTTGATCCTCGCCTACGCTCCCGTGCAGAGCTGTCCGAAGCAAATGAAGGAAAAAAGCAACCGGGAGGTCGGAGAAGCCAAGGTTTTTGCTGTGGCTGCCTTCCCTGTTCTCCAAATGTTGAAAAAACAAAGAGAAAAATCTTAAAAATCCTTCCAGGAAACACAGCTGGGCTAGGAGGGTAAAGAACAATTTCTCCATCGTTGTGTTTAACACATCTTCAAAATCAAAAGTCAGCTCACTCTCCACCACATTTCCAGACTGGGGGCTGCAAAGAAAACTCAATCCTGGACAGAATCAGGGTTTGAATCCCTCCCTACCCTGGAGAAGGACAGACTTCTTCCAAAGAGCTAAAGAAAGAAGATTGGTCCCCCACTCCGCCCTAGAGAATTTCGAGGGTCCCCCAAGAGGGTATATGGAGCTGCCTGAAGCTTGGGGGAACGGGGATTATCTGCAGATTAAAAGTAGGGTTAATTCCCATGTGGCAATGAGAAATCAGAGGGCAGAAAAACACTCACCATTTCCAATAAAAGAGGTGCATCTTTGGAACTCAGAGCCCTGGTTAGTGAAACCGAGGCCTTGAAAGAGAAGTTAACTGCCACCCGAGGCAGGTTTAAAAAAAAAAAAAAACCAGAGGGGGAAAAAAAAAACCCTAGCAAACAAACAAACAAAAAAACACCACCCCATCCCACTGTGTCTCAAATCCTAATTGGTAAGCTTAAAAAAGTCACTTAAAAAAATCATATGCCATTTTATTAGTGCATAAAAATAGCTTTTGGAATCCCTGTTTGGTTTGTCTTGTCTTACTCTTTGTTTGTTTGTTTGTTTTTCTTTGCTTGCATTTTTTTTGTTTTTTCAATTCGGGATTTATTTGAATCTCTGCGTGTTTCTCCGAAAGGCGGCTGGGGTGGGAGGGAGGGGGGAGGGCAGGAGACCACCCAGAGGGGCTCAGCTACCGGCCCTTCCATCCCGCCACGGATGCAGAGGCTTCGCACCCGGCACCCACGAGCTCAGCTCAGAAGATGCTGGGACACTGGCTCCAGTCCTGCTTCTCTTTGCTCTCCCAGTAACCGCCCTTGTAGACGCACATCAGCTCCCCCGTCACCGGGTCCACCTTCCTCTCAAACCACATTGGGATGTAGCCCTTGTAGTCCTTGCCTGCAAAAAAAGCGGGGGGGGGGACAGGAAAAACACGCCCCACACAGGTTTTGGTGCTGACACGGCAGAGATTCTCACCAACTGTCTGGGACAGGGGTGGGGAACCTTGGCTCTTGTATGACTCGTGGACTTCAACTCCCAGAATTCCTGAGCCAGCATGGGGGAACTATGGCCCCTTCATGACTCGTGGACTTCAACTCCCAGAATTCCTGAGCCAGTGGGGAACCTTGGCTCTTTTATGACTTGTGTCCCCCCCCCCAGCCTCATATTCCTTCATGTGAAGAGAAACTTAAGGATCCCTATGTAGATTTTGGATTTCATCTCCCACCTGCCCAGCCACCAGGGCTATAAGGAGGGATCGATGGGACGTGTAGTCCAAAAACATCCTTCCTTGTAACCCAGCCGAGAGACCGGCTGATCTCAAGGGTGGTTTCTTTCCGGTACCTTCTGCCAGCGCTTCGGCTGCCTCGATTTCCCGCTGCCGGCGCACGGCCCGTTGCTTCTCTTCTAAGCGTTGTTTCTCCATGTTGGCCTCGTCCCATTTGCCGTTCTCCATCAGCTGCTGGTCAGGCCTCAGGCGGCTATCCGTGGGAGCGACGCCTTCTTCCGGCTCGTTGAGGGTCAGCGCCAGTTTGGAGAAGAAGTACATGTTTTCGGCGTTCTCCCTGGAGACGGACGAGCCGGGACTGGACTTAGAAAAGGGGTGGCTGGCACCGGCAGGTGCTTCCCTGTGTGGTGCCGGCATTTGGTCTTCTACGTTCGTGGAGCCCCCATAATAATCTGGGCCTTCGCCGCCGCCTCAGAATGGCCAATCCCACAGCTGGCCAACCCTTAAGCCCCAAGCCTGTTGGGAGGACTCACGGGAGGGGATATTTCATCCACAGGACCTTTGGGGACAAGGTCTGGTAGACCGTTTTCGGAAGCTTGCCTTCCGAAATGGAGTTTCCCTGGCTGGTTTCAATGATCTTTGAACACTCCATCTTCTCGTCCCATGTGCCGGACATGACGTAGCGCTCATTGCCATCGGCATCCATCACCACCCCCGTCACCTGGGAAGGAAAACCAGAAAGAGGAGGGTCCGTGGGGGGCTGACAGCCCCACCAGGTAGAAATCAACTCTACGGGTAGCCTACAATGACTTCGACTGAGATGGGATAACACAGGGTATCTTAACCTCGGCAACTGGAAGGTGGGTGGACTTTAACTCCCAGAATTCCCCAGCCAGTTGTGCCGAGTTGATTTGTTATTGCAACAGCCACATCTGGGCTCAAAGTATTTACAGCCAAATCCAGCTCCTGCCCTTTCACATAGTCCCTATAAACAATTTCCCTTTGTTACTGGAACCGTCTGCTTTTCTTCCACACCTGCTTCAGTGTCCTTGGAAATACCTCAGGCTTTCACAGTAGTCAGCAGATTTGAC